GTAAAAGTTAGGGGGGAAATTAGGTGTAAAACCACATTAATCACAAACAGCTTGAAAAGGAGAGCTTTGTGATTAATCTTTCCCAACATTTACTGTGACAACTAATTCAAATTAAAACATGATCATTACACATGGCACTCTAAATCCACAGAATTAAGTGGACTTCTATTTGAAACACAGATTATAAACAGAATTGATGAGTAGCAAGAAAACCGTAGCAGAGAGAGAGAAGAGGTGCTCTCTATCACTGTCAAAAGATGCAGTAGACTGCTAAGTAATAGCCATGCACCAGATTGCATCATTCACAATCTGAGCCAGAATTGGGGCTGGGTGAACATGCACCACACCAGGGGGAGCTCTGTATCTTCAGAGGCACGATCCTTTCTCCATCTCTCCTTAAGATGTTGTGCATGCATCTCCATGCATCTGACCAGTCTCTCCTCCTCTTTGGTATGACATGCACTCCTAAAATGATAGGAGAAAGCAGTCTCTGTGGCTGTACACAGTGGGTAGAAGGGACAGGAGAAGGCTCCTGGCTCCCTCCTTACACCATGCAGTTGCCAGAGGCAAATTTTTCCCTGTATTAACAGGTGAGACTCATGATAAAATTCTATTTAGGAAGGGAATTTCCACAACTGAGAATTTCTTGATAAATTCCAGTCACATCTCTTACCACCCCAACCTCTTCCACTATTTCAGAAAGAAATTCCTTAAGATCACCTGCTAATGAGAGAGAAATATTTCCAAGTCATTCGAATTAGACATCTAGGAAAGCAAATAGATGGCATTCATGCATTTATTGGCTGAAATTAAGATGTTCCCAACCTACCAGTCCTAATTCACGGTCATGTTGCTACAATGTGGCTTTCATTCAAACATCCTCTTTGTCTGTTTAGCAATAAATCTTGAAATGTTCTTCTTTAAAAGTCATTATAAATTATCCTAAATGGGAACAGCTCCCTTCCAATGAAACTTTTTTTCTAAGCAATATATTCATTAGACTTTATCTGCTTAGTGCATATATGCCACTAAAAGTGCTTGAAAGTTAATTATGCAGAAGATTATCAGAATAGTAATAATTATCATTATGGAGATTATGGAGTGGATAAATAGGTCTCCAATTTCATCTTTTGAAAAGCTGGCATACTAATAGGATCGAATCCTACTCACAGAATACTTCAGTTGAAGTCAAATGGCCAAATTCACAGATGGCATAAACAGCAAAGTGATTGGGTCAAATTCTGCTCTCACTTGCACTCAGGTAAATCGGAGGTAACTTCACTGACATCAAGTGAATTACTCTGGATTTACACCAGATCTTTAAAATCTAATTGCCCATGTAACCCACTCTTGAGTGTGTGTTCTGTGTTACAGATGCCTCTGTGCCTAATCTGCAGAGAATATAGTACTTTTACAGTCCTATCTAGAGAGCCTTAGCTCGTGAGCGCAAGCTGTGTTTTTAGCTCTGGAGGTCCCCAGCTCAGTTTCTGGTGTGCTGGCCAAGATGATGCTATCACATCAGCTCATATGGGAACTTTTCCCTGATAGGGCGGCCTAAGACATCAGTGTCTGAAGACTGTAAGCTTTCCTTAGTTCCTGATCTTAGCTTGTTGGAGCAAGGACCATATCTTTGTATGTGTTTCTATAACACAAGTACTGGTTGTGAGCTCTGGATGCTACTGCAATATTAATATTTTTTAAAATAATAATACAAAATCAATTTTTTAAAAATTCCAGCCTTATGGTTGGTAAGATAAACTTCCCACTATGAACTGAACGTAAACCAAAAAAGCGTGGTCTTCCTGAGGCAGCAGGCAGGCCGCTCCAGTGACTCAGGTGCTGAGTATACTGTTGATGTGGTACAAACCAGGTGGAGCAAATTGATAAATCCAGCCCAGAACTGGGCCTGGGAGACATCCCCACACACACATTCTGGGGGCACTAGGATCCACACGCTGCCTCCCCTCCTTTCCCCTCCCCGCCCCGCCAATGTGTGGTGTTAGGAGAAAGCCACAATGAGGAGCCAACCAGAGACTCCAGCTGGTAGGGGCATGAACAGCCAAAGCAGGGACTTTGGCCTTGGGAGAATGTTCTACCCTTCAGACTCGACTTTCTCTGCCCTATGTTGATTGGCAGTTTGCTTCAACCCTTGGCCCTACCTCACAATCTCTTCACCTCAGTGTCACTCCACAGCTGCCCCTCTTACCCTCTTCTCCCCTGCCCTGTCCCCCCACCCTTCCCATCAATATCTGCCATCCCTTCCCTTTTCTTTCCTGTTAGCTTACCCCTCCTATATATACCTACCTAAAGAGGAAAAAAAGTTAAAAAAAATACATGGAATAACATGCTGTTTGCTGCCGTCACATTGTTCACTCTGCTTGTTTATTAGACACGGTCCCCTACCCTGGATCTGTCTTGTCTATTTAGATTGTAAGCGCTTTGGAGCAGAGATCAGCAGCTACGCTGTGTTTGTACAGTGCCTAGCACAATGGTCCATCACAGGAGCTGGTCCATCACAGGAGCTCCTAGGCTGTACGATAATACAAAGAATAAATAATAATAATACTTCCCCCCTACTACAACTTTGACATAATTCTGGCTTCTACAATAAACATCCTTGAGCGTTCCTAGAAGTCCTCCAGCAAAACCAAAAGAGATTGGACTTGACATTTTTGATATTTCTAACTTTAAAAAATATCATCCTTCATCATGAAGAGAAGGGGGGGAAAAGCACAAGCCCAAGAAAACATTTTCAATATATATTTAAAGTGAAATCCTGACCCAATTGAAGTCGATGGGAGTTTTACCACTGATTTCAGTTGGGCCAGGATTTCTCTCTTTCCATTCATCTTCAACCCTAATGGTGTTCCCCTTCCCCTTCACCAGGAACAGGGTTCTACCTTTTGTTCCTTCTACTTGTACAACATAGAGTAGATATACATAAAAATCCTCTCCAAACTAGGTCGTATTTTCAAAATTAAATTAATAATTTTCTATAGTTTTTTTCAGATACTGACCAATCAGTATCTAAATTTACTGATCCCTCTTAGTCATTAGAACTGTAATGTAGGCCAGAGAGCTCTATATCATGTTTAGGTACAGCCTCAGCTTACTGAAACTATTGATTCTATAAATTGTAGATTGAAACAGTTTATCACCCAAAATCAGAGCTTCCTTAGTTCAGAAGATTAGATGAGTCCAAGATCCTAGGAATTTCTATGGTTACATAAATGGGATAAGATTAGAAGAGATCTGGATTATTCAAATGGGGTGTAAATTTACCAATATAACTTAGTCAAAATGATTTGGTCTTTCTCAGAAATGAAACTTCCAGGAAAATGTTTAGAAAAGATAGCAATTACCCTATTCCTTTTATGGTTCTGACTGTTAATTTATGGTGCATCCTGAGGCTATGATGGGTGCCCTTTTTTTTAAATCAAAAGATAAATCTTAATGAAAGTTTTTGGTTCTTTCAATTATCACAACAGTGAATATTAAAGAGGCATCAAAGGCAGAATCAGCTTTTAGCAGAAGCCATGAAGGTCCTCATTAGGGTGGAGTTCAGCACTCCAGTATCAGTGCAGCATTTCTGGCCAAGAAATTATACATCGAAGTAGTAACAGTGAGTCACCACAAGTTACTTTGGAAGAACTATACACAGTGGTTTCAGAACATAAAACTAACAGAGGCAATGGCCTAGAGAATAAATTGCAAATTAGAATTGCCAGGGAACAAAGTTTGCTATATGACTTTTCTCGGAAATAAAGCCACTTTCCTTTTCTTATGGCCCTACTTGATCATTCAACAGATTCAAAAGCACATGGCTAAAGTAATCCTAAGAGCTCCATGGTGAAGCAGTTCGATTTTGCTTTCAGATGTGATAAAACTGTGTCCACACAAATCCAGTCTTCTCTTTCTTAAACAGACTAGCCCTCAGACTATATCAGGGTCTCCTTTATGTACAGTAGAGCTTAATTCAACCAGTTGATGAAGGTTTGAAACTGTTTATCTGGTCTTTTTTAAGAGGTTAAAAAAATTATAATGAATCAACACTATCAAGTTCTGCCAGCGAATCAATTAGATTGTGTGTTGGAATGTAGAAAAATTGTTTCTACTCGTGAGGTTTCAAGGATTCTGACTCATACAGATCAAACACTTTGCATAAAATGGATTTATTATGGTTCAAACTGCAGTATTAAAGCAACCAGGACAAAACTGACAAACTCTCTTTTCTTTGACATATCTAGTCATTTTAAAGGCACACAGTTGTTGAGATCAGAGAATCAACATTCTCTCAGGCTAGAAATCTAAGCTTAAATTCTCCTCAAGTGCTAGCTGCTACTTTTCACTGTACCTCCTGGCAGTTTTTTTTTTTTTTTTTTTTTTTGCTTACCTTGAAAGTTTGTTTTTGAAACAGAATTTTGTTACTAATGTTTGTAAACTCTAGTCATGTGCCAAGTGAGCAGGGCTGGATAGGAACCCACATATCTTATATCCCTGCACTGTTAGCACTCTCTTCCCAAAAAGACTATTTTGCTGGGATTTCCCACACCACAAAAGAAGAGATTTAAAGCCCATCTGTGAGAAAGACAAGAGCACACTCACTATAAACTCCTTGTCATCCTTTCTTTAAACCAAAATTACTAGTGTCATGATCTTCTGCCCAGTCATCAAACTCTCTCTCTCACATACACACACATGCACACACACACAGTGAATTATTGCAGTTCACACAGCGCCCTGCAGAACCTACAGCCAGTTCTGTTGGAACATCCAAGGATTACATAGTCAAGCAATTTTCTAAATGTATCTTTACATAAAATCAGACGGGATGATTCAGGAACTCATTTCCCAAAATGCAACACTTCAAGAGCACACGATCACACATACTCATTTGTTTGCACATAAATACCATGGAAAAGGATTACTCTGTACCTCAGGAAGAAAATTGCCATGAGGTATCAACAGCAGCTGTTTTACAAATGCATAAAATATCATACCTTTTTCATTCACAGTTTCTTCTTTTATTTTCCTCACTGCTTCTTGGCCTTCACTTTCATCGTTTCCAGCTGTCATCATCAAGAAAATGCAAAATTAATAATGCAATCAGCTTAAAGACTGTTGAGTACCCAGTCATCCTACAAGTCTAGGTTAACCACAATGTAAAATGCCACAATCAGAAAGCAAACAACAAGCTTGAAGTGAAAGAGAATTATTTACTGCAATCACACTAACAGAAGTTTCAGAAGGCACCATACAAACACATTGCTATTCACACATGACTGGACTGTTTTGTCTCTTCTAGTTATTGCATGAGGCCTGGACAGCCATGTGCTGGAGCAGCTGGAGTTAAAACCAAATCTGGTGATTCAAGTGAAACACGTTTCAGAAACAGAGTCTGAAACAGCAATAAAGCAGTAAGCTTGGACTGCATTTTCCAAAATGAAAAAGAACTGATGGGATTTCACGGAGTATTTTGGTGGATACTCACTAAAATGTCCAGTCCATCTGACTCCATGCATAGGCACAGTTCTTACTAGCATTAATAGAAAATAAGTGTAGACATCAAAGAGCGAGAAGAGACTCTGCCCTCCTGTCATTGAACTACAGTAGACAATCACAGTTAACAATTGGATAGTAGTCACTGTTTGGCAGTTGCTTTGTGACAATGTTGTCTTTGGAACAGCAAAAAAAACACTGTGCTTGGTAACAGAGTTTTAATTTTGAAAGTGGAATTTACCATTCTGTCTATCCATCAACAGAGATAGAGGTTTTCTATAGCCCCATCATCACAGCATCTAAGTCCTTCCTAGATAAATTAGATGCACATAGTAAGCCCCCTAATGAATGCTAACAAGTCTTCTGCTGCCTCTAGTTATAGAAAGACTGCCTGGGTTTTTATAAACCTGGGTGATAAGGAAGGCTTTATTTTTCTTCCCCCTATTTTGATTTGTTATTGTTTATTAGGTTATGTATGTATTTATTTTGTTTATTTATCTTCCATTTATTTGTTCCTTTATCTTTCTGGTTATGGAGGGAGAGATCTTGCACAGAAGAGTTTATTGTGGCATGCCGAACAGTTCAGTCAGACTCTGGATTAGTCTGACTTCCTCTGGGAACTCCCTGTATGCCCTTGAGAGAGAACATTTTATCTCTGGGACCTCATTACACTTCATTCTGGCTTGTATAAACTGCATTGTCCAAGAGCGCGTGGAGAGATCAGACCAGCACAGGGGTGATGTCGCCCAGGCCACTGAGGGGATAGGCTAATGCATTCTGCAGAAGCTGGAGCCTCAGTGTTGCTTGCACATTTAGCCCCAGGTATGGGGAGTTACAGTATTCTATCTGGAGGTGACAAATGGATGGGTTCATGAAATGGAAAGAGAAGACTCATTATTTATCTGAAAACAGTTGAAACAGGCAATTTTGCCATTTAAAACTGTTAATGGGAAGACAGCTTGCCTGTAAACACCTACAAGCATACTGGTCTATAATGGTATGTACAGATTAGATTCAATTCCTTTTTGACCTCCTCATACTAACCATTTTGAAACAAAGCAAAGAAACGCTCATTTGTAGTATTTGTTTTTTCTGCAAAATCCATCTGGGGTTTTATGACACACAAACATTCAGCTTGATCCTAATTTCTGGAAATAGATGCAGTGTCAAAGAACAAACCCTACAGTGAAACTGCCATGTCTGTGTAACTCTGCACAAAGCAGCTATGGGCAAGGAATCAACTCTCCTCACTCTTTCAGCTTAAGTGATTTCCTACAGTGGGGTTTCAAAAATCAGTCTGTCAAAGTGCTAGATACAGTTATGTTAAAAACTGACTTCTGTGGCAAGCCCTGTGAGGGTCCCATCTGATCCTCCTTTCATTCAGCATTTATCACACAATGAACATGCATATTAAAACCTCCAGTGACTTGATTTAATTCTCAGTATGTTCATTTATTTTTCAAAGAACTTGCGTTGCACAACAAATGGTAATTCACATTATTTTCACTGTTATATTAATGGTTCCTCATTAAAGCTCAGGACCCCCCAAACAAACTCAGTTTATTCTTATTTGCATATTTTAATTCAAGACCATTGGGGCAAAAGAATCATTTTACTAAATAGCTGCTTCAAATCTGTTTCCATATTAGCTTAAGAGGGAGATTGAAAAGATGAGTCTAGGAGCTGGGAGCACCATAAAATTGAAAATTGCCTTGACCAAAGCCGTTTGTGTGCTGGAGGCTTTTGAAATGATTTTGCAAAGCAAATGCTTTAGGGATGAATAGAACGACTCGATAAGTGACCAAATCCTTATAAAAAGTTCAAAGTAATGTATTGCAAAAAGATACAGTAATGTTGTAAGAGTAATCTATACCTCTGGTTTTATTTAAAGAGATGAGTGATTCCTTACTTATTAGGGGCAAAGCAATAGCAACATTTATAGTCAAAGTTGATAAACACATTCCATTTTAATCCCGGTTTCAGTTGCTTTCACTGTGACAAACTAACCATTTGGTCTGAAATTTTCCACACTTGATCTCTGCCTTAGGATTAATTTTGTTTTGAAAATCTGAGCAAACACAACTCAACATGGACTGAGACGAGTGAAAAATGGGAAATTCTGCCACTACTAAAACCACACAATTTAGTTTCTTTTAATTTGTCTGGGGGATTAGTCCTGGGGCCTTTGCATTTTGTTCACCCCAGGAAAATCTGTTCAGTTTTGGCTAGGTTATAAGCAATGGAAAAAATAGTCACTTCCACATGCTCAGCAGATATTTTTTTCATTTTCTGAATATCCAAGCTACATGTGACACATTCCCAGCCCACAGTGATACTCTTTCATTGTCACCAAACAACTACAAAGGGTTAAAGACAGGAAGCAACAGCTCCACTGAAATACTGTTTGGAAGATCCATTGGGGTGGGAACCAGACAATGAATTCTTGTCTCACTTTTTCCATGGACTAGTTTCAATATTCTGCTCACTTATAACCCTTATTATTGAGCAAGGCCTCATACTTCTACCTTAATAAACAAGTAGATAAAATGCTCCCTTATTTAAAAAATGTTAACTAAGATTTTGAAAGGTGGAGGGATAGCTCAGTGGTTTGAGCATTGGCCTGCTAAACCCAGGGTTGTGAGTTCAATCCTTGAGGGGGCCATTTAGAAATCTGGAGCAAAAATTGGGGATTGGTCCTGCTTTAAGCAGGGGGTTGGACTAGATGATCTCCTGAGGTCCCTTCCAACCTTGATATTCTATGATTCTATGATCACTTTGGGCAGATCGGGGAGTAGACTTCATGTGTACCTAAATCTCGTCTACTTAAACATGATGCCTCCTAGAATGAACATGCCAAATCTATGTGCTTGGCTATTGTGTTTGCAAAACAGATCTACTCCTGCATGCTCACCTTTAGAAAGCTCATTAAAATCCACAATTGAATGAGTCCTATATGTAAATACAAAGCATCATCATCAAATAATTAGTAGCTAAGAGTCCTAACTTTCAGTCTCCCGCTTTAAGCACTGGGCTATAGTTCCCTTCAAGAGCCAGGAACACAACCTAGTTCTTATATTGTACTGCTGTCTTGCAAGTAGTTCTGTAACCCACTAGTAAAGTGGACAGTGCACACAAAGGAGAACAGCTACTACTGAGAGTGAATTTAAAATGTTCCAATGCGGTAGTAAATTCAGATTTTATTTTTAAAAGTCACCAATCAATATTTAAAAATCATACACACAAAGTCTATCGTCTGTTTTATGTAGGACCTAGACAAAAATACAAAATATGTTGCATCCTCTCACTGCAGACTCTTCAAACAGGTTACACTCTCAAAGCTGTGCAGAAGTCACCAGGAATGTTGATACTCAAAGAAAGGAAAGGTCATAACACTCTTAAGCACCATTTGAAATATCCTGATTGAAATGTCCTATAAAATGTAATAAGGATGAAACGAAAAAGGTTTTCTAAATTTGTAAAGGGTTCCAGAGAAATCAAGATAAGCAACCACAGAATATAATGGAGTATAATATCCTTTCAACAGAATTTTAAAAACACCCTATACACAGCCTTATGCACAGTGGCTGCTACATGCAATTTGGGGGACTTGATAGATTCCCTAATGTAGGACAGGATAGTTCCAGCACTTAGGATCATCACCTGCAGGAGCAGCTGCTCCAGGAAGGCAATCTCACATCAGACAGATGCTTAGACATGGGGCATGCAGCAGAAGCCTCAAGAGAAAGGATGGAAGCCCTAGGAGGCTCAACACCCCCAGTAGTATGTGCAGAGAGACAACAGCAAGGGAGCGCAGGTGGCCAGGGTTCCAGTGAGATGCATTTACTGTGATAGACAACATGAGTGGGTGAAGGAGAAGTGCCCCGCACTGGGAAAGCAGTGCTAGGAAAGTGACCAGTTGAACCATTTTAACAGTGCATGCAAGAGCAGAGAAAGGTCTCAGAAAGATTCAGTCAGGTTTGCACAAGAGGTGGATTGCACATCAGACAGCAGTGATGACATCATGTCTCTCTCCTTGACTCTAAGGAGCATATCAAGTCCTGACAGAGAGGCAACAAGGAACAAGACCAACACAATGTTATGAGGGAAATGGCCTACACAAGTCCAGGATCACGGAACCTCCTGCAGTGGGATTCCCCAGAATTAACTGGACTCGAACACATTCATTACAAAGAGCAGGCACAATCTAATAATGTACAATGAGTGCATAATGCAACCCATAGGAAAATGTGATCCAATAATAACTAAGTCAAACAATAACAGATGGTACCTACAGAAGTTTGTGGTGATGGATGGTAAGCTCCACAGACCCTTCTTGGAGAATACACCCATACAAGGCATGGATCTGATCAGGGTACAGATTCAGAGTTTTATAGCGGCAGTGCAACAAGACAGTGTAGATCATTTTAGAAGTATAGGAGGGATGTTTTCAAATGTGACGGGTGCCTTGAAGAAAAGCCCCTGGAAACAGACCCCAAAGTAGAACCTCTGTGCTTACCCTGAAGGAAAATTCCAGTGGCACTAGGGAGTTCACAAGGAGTTTGAAAGTCTG